ATATAATATTTATATATATTCCTAACATTTGTAATATTAATAATTATTATGAAAGAAATAAATATTGAGAAATGTTGATTTAACATCTTGTGAAAATAGCTAATAAAGCAACATTTTATTTTTGTTTATACAATGTATTTCAGCTAGTTAGATCATCAATAAAAAAAATTCCAAGAAAAGAGAATTCAAGTTATTTAACTTAAAGTTAATTTTTTGTGAAAACAAATAACAATAAATGTCATTATTGTATTTATTTTCATTTGCAAAAAATAAGGTGAACAAATGCATTAGCTAATGCATGACAAAAAGGCAGAAAAACCCGCATAACAGAAAAAAACCGCAGCTGAAATTATAATTAAACATTTTACCGCATTTGAACTTCAATTCGATGCGATTCAAGGCAAGCGAGTTGAAAATATTTTATTTTTGTTTTTAACTTTTTTTGCTTTTGTTTATAAACAAGGCAAAGCAAGAACTCGTGCCAGAGATTTGTTATTGTTGTTGCCAAAAATACAAAAAAAAAAGAAGAAAAAAATGCCTCGAGAAAAAAGCGTGTCAGCAGCTTGAAGAGCAATCAAGAAACAAGTGCGAGAGATACAGAGAGAAAGAGAGAGAAGATAGCGAGGTCTAGACATTACTTAAAGACACTGACATCTTCAATTGATTTGTAATTGCCTAGAAATGCACTCTGGTAATGGAAATGCATTCAGCTGCAAAGTGGGTCAAATGGTGGTGGCAGCACCACCTGCTCTGGTTCAATGCACCATCAGTGGAAATGGAAAATTAAAATTGGAAATGCATAGAAAAATGTGTTTGTAATTAGCTATGGAACATAACTAATGTCAAATACGACAATAGTTCTGTGAGATCTGCCTCAGCTCTACCTAAGTAAATAATTTTGAGTGTTGAGCGTAATGCAAATAAAAAACACACACACACACGCCGACATACTCTAGAGATATCTGTATACCTCTACACAGGTGGTGTCGCGGTCTTTCTTATTATTTACCGTCATTGTTGTTTATAATTGTATTATTTCTCTTTTGTTCTGTCAGGTGTTGCGGTTCGTAGTTTTCAATGAATATCACAAGAGTTACAAAGGTACGTGGTAGATAGGAAGTCGTCTGGACTATAGCATTTCCTTAAGAGTGCTTCGTTTTATATGAATACGTATGCAGCGCAGCATCGTGAGGCTTCTTTTATTTCTTAATTATTTATATACGTGTTCTTACCGTACGCAGGTATTTAGACATGTCTGAGGCGAATTGCAGCGATGCAATGGAAACAGACTTCACTCTGATATTTTATCATCAACTAAGCTTCACGATCTATAATTACTATATACATTTATAAAAATATCAAAAGTTCTCAGTTAAAAGATATCTTATAACTTTATAGAGATATGTATATTGAGCTGGTTATGCAATTGAAGATATCTTAGCTGCTTTATAGTTTTGCTATGTATACCAGACACCTAAAGTGTCAATTACATTCTGAAACTCTATTTGTTTAGTGTGCTTTTGATGGCATTATATATCTAAATATTTATTTAATTTAATTTTAATTAT